CAATGCGATGGACGCGAGCACACCGGGGACAAAAGACAGGCACTCCGCACCTTCGGTTGCGTTGGGGGGTAAGAGCTTGGGGTGTTCCCCCTTATACTTCACTCAGGCCTTAACAGGGATTATAGTGCACCCCTCAAGCCCTCGAAACACGCACTGGTACAAAACACAACCATGTAGACCCCCCTTGTTTCTGGGCATCTCTTTCGGCTCTCTGTGGCTCCCGGCTCCGCATGGTATCCTTGTTGAGGGCCGCCATGATTCCAGGCCTCGGGGAGCTGTAAACCCTAACCCCTACACCCTAAACCCTAAACCCTAAACCCTAACCCCTACACCCTACACCCTAAACCCTAAACCCTGAACCTTAAACCCGAAACCCTAAACCCTAAACCCTCAACCCTCAACCCGGGGCTGAAAGCTGAAGCTTGTCTGGGTTTAGGATGCTGCGCTTCTGGCCCCTAAATTTGGGGCCTCACTTTCGGGCCTGGGACTTAGGATGCCGTGGGGATGGTCCTCTTTGCTTAGGGTGTAGGGTGCTTGTTTGCCACAGGACGTGACTCCTGGAGAAAAAACGCGACGGGGATATGTTCAAGGATCAGCAGGCCGATAAACTGCTGCGACTACGCCGACGCCGAACTCATCGTCCAGGAGATTCGTAGGTAGGCAAAATATGTTGAAGGAGAAGAGCCTTCAGTGGCCTTGAAGTCCGAAGTTAGATTTAGGCGATACTTGCCTCCAGCCTAGCTGACTGCTTGCTGATCTCCGACAAAAAATAGAAGCAAAAATCTGCGCCGTAAACCAAACTGTGTCCTAGCAGAAGCTCTGTAAACCCAAATAACAAAGCATGAAATCCTCAACCCGAAGCCCTACGCCACAAAACCCAAACCCTAAGCACCAAGAAACCCTAAACCCTAAACCCCAAACCCTAAACCCGAAAACCCCAAAGGCCCTTCCACGGGCTCCTGGCAGCACCTCAGAGTCGATCATCTGCGGGACGCGAGCGGGATCCTCGGTGTCTGATCATGCTTTAAAGTTCATGGTAACCCTCTTGGGGCACACTTAAGGGGCTTGTAAGTGGGTGATAAGTACAGGTCTACTTGGTTAAGAAGTGCCCTGAACCTCCAAGTGCACCTAGAGAGTTTCGGATACCCAGATATACCCAGGATTATGTACGACTGCAGAATGTGGGTAGACATCTGTTTGTGCGGGTTGCTTATAGTGATCTAATGCTACTTAAGTTCCGTTGACATGCTTCGAATTTGGTGCTTAGATAAGTTTAACATACTCAGGCGTCGGTGGTGGCGGCAAGGGATTAACATCAAAGGACTCCGCGATCATAAAGACAGGGGTTCAGGGCTCAAGGTAGTTTAGGGCTTGCGGTTTTGGGCTCAGGTGGTTAAGGGTTCAGGGTTTAGGTATAGGGAATGTCCACATTCACAAGGAGTTACGGTCTACATTCCACGTACTGCCCCGGTTTCTTAGAATCTACCACTCAGCAGCTGCACAACTAGAAATGACTGATGGCCGCCACTGTGGTGGTGGTAGCTTATCAGTGGGGGGATTTAAGGCAGTACCCATTACGGGAAGGGTTGTCCTGAATATATGCTCCCTTACAACCTGCTTTCCAAGCCCCAGGAACCTCCAATCACCGCAATCTCTTCAACACTCAACACTGAAGCCCCGGGACCATTTTTGAACTCGGACCGGAAAGCCATGACCCTGCGCCCCCCAGACTCCAACCAAATCATTTGTCCAAGGACTGCTGTGCCCCGGGCATCTTGTATGATGCTTGACACGATGTCGATGGCCGTCCCGAAGAGGGAAAGCCCCACCTTGGACGGCTCCTGGCAAGAGTTCAGGGTGTTAGCGCTACGGTTTAGCAAGACTTCTCAGGGGTTTTAGAGTTACCATACAGGGTTTTTAGGGCCTCGAAGGGTTGAACCGTTTGGGGTCTAGGTCGGGAGTGTTAGGCTTCTGACCTTATGCAGGTCTTCACTTCCGGGGCTCTCAATCCTGAATGCTCAACCTTGGCACACCCAACCCCTGGGTAGTTCTCAAAAAGATGGTCCCTTTTGGGGGGGGTTACTATTATAAAGCGGCCCCTTTTATTTAGGGCCCCCAGAAAGGGACCATGATCTTGAAAACTGACCAGATAGACGCTGCACCGTAGACCATACACTAACACCCAAACTGTATACCCTAAGCTCTCAGCCCGAAGCCCTCAACGATAAACTCTGAACTCTGAGCTCTGAACGCCAAAATCTAAGCCCTAAGCACAAGCCCCCCCAACCCTCCAACCCTAAGCTCGAACTCCTGAGCCCTAAAGACCTTGCACCCCAAAACCCTAACTCCAAACCTGGCAGCCCAAACTTGATGCCCTTGGCTCTAAAACCCTAAGCCCCAAACCCCAAACCCCAAACCCCAAACCCTGAACCCTGAACCCTAAACCCTAAACCCCAAATCCATCCTAAACCCTAAGCCCTCAAACCCCCAACTCTGAACTCGTCCTTGAGAGCCGTCTTCAGCGCATCCATGAGGGGCCCTTGGAAGACGTTTGCCAGGCCGGCCTCACGCGGCTCAGACAAAGCCGGGGGCTGCGGGGCTCTTCGGGTCTGGGGGGGGATTATGGTATAGGATTTACGGGTACTTTTTTGTCCTTCAGGTATAGGGTACTTTTGGGGTACTTTCGGGGTATGTTTAGGGCACTTTGGGGGTACTCGTACAGTATTTTTAGGGCGCTCATGAGGTCACTATGTGTAGGATTCATAGGAAATCTTGGTCGGAGCGCGGCCCCCCTGCGCCTGAAGCACCTCTGTGGACTGCAGGGCCGTCTGGATGTTCTTCAACCTCACAGGGCGGCAAGTGTGGCTTTAGGGTTTAGGGCTTGTTTGGCAGTCTTTCGGCTTGAAACTTCAGGTTTTGTGAAGTTATGGGGGGTTTGGGGTTTAGGCCTTAGGGTGTAGGGCGTGGGGCCTTCGCCTACGTTCTTCTCAACGGAAGGAAGCCCGCGACAAAGGGGCCGCTACTCTACATGCCTTCTTCCCCCTTCTTGGGCATATCCACTCATCAGCTTAAGCAAATGCTTGTGGTCAGGCGCGCATAGCCTTGGCTGAAGCCAAGCAAGTTTGGCTTGAAGCGTTCATGAAGGGGGGCTTGAAGTGAATGCGAGGGGTGCGCCAATCCGTGAAACGCGTGGAGGCGACACACATGCAAGAGTGCAACAGTGCGGGATTGGGGGCGTGACAGCGTGGGGAGGGAACGCAACCCGGCACTGGCGCAGTGAGTGGATCATTGATTGCTTGAGAGTGTCTTTGACGATGCACAGATCCGCTGAATCGGCGCCCAGACCATGCCGGTGCTTGGCACCTGCTGCCCACAGTACCATGCTCAAATCATGAACCTTTACTGAATCATGGAGTGAAACACGAAGCGTGAGTGGCTGCTGAAGTCGGGCCTGCCCTTTTGCTCTAAACCCTATACTGTAAGTCCCCAAGCCCTAAACCCCAGTCCGTGTACCCTTTTCCCCATGCCGATACTGTGAAACCCTAAACCCTGAATCCTTGAACCCTGAGCCCTGAAGCCATACACCCTGTACTGTAAACCCTAAGCCCTGAACCCTAACCCTATACCCCAAATCTATCAACCCTCTACAATCGACCGCCCCTCTACCACCCTCTGAGGCCCTCAGCGCTCAACTCCAAACGCCCTGGGCCGGCGGCAGCTGGCGGCAAAGCTTCCGCCGGGCCGTGACCTCCTCTAGGAGCTCCCAGAACCTTGCCGAGGGGCGGGGGTGGGGACCCTGGGATGTCGAGGGATGTTTAGGGTTGAGGCGTTTCGCATAAGAACGTCTTTGAGTGGGGTTTAGGTCGTTTGGGTGTGCCTTAGCACCTCTTACTCATGGAGCACAGCTCATTGCGAACCTTTGCGGATCGTTGCGGGCGACCAATGCCCACAGGCCCTATCAAACCCGTGATTCAACCACAAACCTCTCAAGGTTTACACCGAAACAGCCAACTAAAGCAGCCCTGTGTGGCCCTATAACTATAATCCTGAAGTCCTCTGAAGCATCACCGAACCGAGAAGGAGGAGTCCTCCCTGTTTCCGGCCTCTGCTTTTCTTCTCGCGACGCCCCTTCGCCGGGAGGCTCCAGCTCGAAAGCCTGAGCAACACCCACAGTGGCAAACAAGCAGGGCAGCAGAAGCAGTGGGAGTGGGAGTAGGAGTGGGAGTGGGAGTGGGAGTAGGAGTGGGAGTAGGAGTAGGAGTAGCAGTAGCAGTCGCTGTCGCAGTCGCCGTCGCAGTAGCAGTAGCAGCAGAAGCAGTAGCGTAGCAGTAGTGGCAGTGGCAGTAGTGGCAGTGGCAGTAGTGGCAGCGGCAGTAGGCAGGTACACATGACATGTAGCCAATCTGGCAGTGGCAGTGGCAGGGGCAGGGGCAGTGGCAGTCGCTGTTGTCGCAGTACGTACTGCTACTGCTACTGCTACTGGAACTGCTACTGCTACGGCAACTGCTACTGCTACTGCTACTGCTACTGCTGCTGCTTGTAGCGGCCGTTGTAGTACTGCACAGGGGCCACAGCAAAAAACGCTGAATCCAAAGCTTACTGAGTCCTCGGGCGTCGCCAGTGAAGTCCAAAGCCTGTGGGGATCAACAGCTTCGCAGCTACTGCAACTGCAATTGTCCGAGTTCAGGCTGTCCGGACACCACCAATACGAAACAGTTCGAGCAACAGACAGGGCGCAACAAAAAACGCAACAAAAAACATTCAAGCCCCCCTTCTTGCATGTCTCTGCTACGTCGCGCTCCGGCGAGTCAAAGCACATGTGCAGCTTTTCGTCAAGAACGGGGCTGCTGTATAGGGACTACCACACAGGGACTACTCTCTTGGGACTGTTATACCATCTAGGAACTAGCATACCGGAACTATCATTCGAGGACTGAGACATAACGAGCTGCCGCCATTTCGAATGCTGCAGAGAACGGAGCTCAGGGCCCCAGCCATCATCAGCTCAACTTCTCTCTGAAGTCGAAGCGAGAAGGCCTGGACTTGGGCCGCTACAGCGAATGCTACTGGAGAAGTCGTTGTATTGCAAAACGGAACCCGCACCCAGAGTTTCTCAAAAAGAGTTCCGAAGACTGATGCTGTGATGCAGTAAGAGGTACCCATCAGGAATTCCAGGACTTACAGAACCCTTGCCAAGCCCTTCAAGGACGTTACTATAGCAGGGGGACTGGCCCTAGACCCTAAACCATGCGCAGGGGAGCCGGAGGCCCCCCGTCCCCCTCAGGTTTTGCAAGCAAAAAGGCCCCCCTCCTGGAGGCTAGCTGGCTTCCCTTTCTTTTTTTGCACAAGTCTAAGAACAGCTTCAACCAACCAACATCACCCAACCAACAACGTGGCCCTGAAGGGGTGACCTTGCACTCCTGGAGAGGAACCTTTGTGTCTGGCGTCTGAGCCAGGTCTTCGGGAGTGCAAGCCCAGACGCTTTCAACAAACACATCTAGGACCCAGAACTCCCCCAAGACACCCAGATCTCCCGGCATCCCCCACCAAACGGCCTGGAGGCCGCTGAAGTCCCGGAAGAGGACCAGGGCCGCGGTGCCAGACACCTGGGGGAGCGTTCCTTCACGTATGGATGAAGCAAGAACTACGCGTGCAACGCACTTGTAGGTGTGAATATGGATATTAGACTGACTGCAGCACTATAGATGACGCCAATACTGAAGAAGCATACATGTGGGAGTTTTCCCAAAACAAATTGGAGGCCCTACATGTGGGCCACAGATGGACAGACTCTGCGTTAGAACACCCCATACAAGGACCCCTAATTCATGGAACCCCCAATGGGGTTTAAAGGAGCTCTAAGGTCCAGGATGGAGTTGAGTACTAAGGTTTGAGGGTTTCGAGTTGAGGGTAAGTTGGGGGGGCTTTTCGCCAGGGTTTGGGCTGCGAGGCTTTTGGGATTCTTGAGGCCGTTTCATGGCGTCAGGGCTTTCGGGGCTGCTGCGGCTTCAGGAGCTCTCGGGAGGCTCGTACTGGTCTTGGAGCTTCTTGTTCCCTTTTGGTGTGTGTGAGGGTTCTCAAACCCTAAACATCCCGAAGCATCCCCTCAACCCTAAACCCTAAACCCCTCCCCAAAACCCTTTCTTGCCTCTGCCGCCAGCTCCAAGCAGCGGAGCATGGCCGTCACAGCCGGGAGGGAGGCCACCTTAAGGTGGGCTCAGGTGCCAGCATAAGGGCGGAATTTCCGGCCCTGTTAGGATGAGGATGCTTAGCTTAAGGCTCTCAGAGTTCGGTAGTTCAGGCTTCGGACCGTTTTGAGGATTTGGGGGTCTGAGGGATGTTGTTCCGGCGCACGCACTCCAGGACACGTCAGGCGAGGCTGTAGGGTTGAGGGGTTTTAGGGTTGAGGGCTGCTTCAGCGCTGGGGTAGGAAAAATCCCTGGTTGGACCCTGAAGCCCCCTAGACCCGCCCATGCCAAAAAGCCCCCAGGCGCGGGCGCAGAAACATCCCGAATCCGGGGCCCGGACGTCCGTCTTCTGCATGAGCTCCAGCATGGCAAGGATCATCCCCGCATGCCTGCTGGTTGAGGGTGGTTGAGGGTGTAGGGCTTAGGGCGGTAGTTCTTAAAGGTGGCTTCGCTGGGGAAGCAGGCATGTGTGCGATCGGGATTACGTGCATGCTCTGCAGAGCTCTTTGCTTGCTTACCTACCTACAGGACTTGCATAGTGACTTGCCATGGACTACGTGAGACATCCATGTGCATGCATGACACAAGTCTAATGCGCATCAAAGCACATTAAAAGTAAGTATGTACAGAGACGCCTATGCAAGATGCGTGTCGAGGCCCAGGTGCGAAGCATGCTGGTTGTGGGGGAAGTTCTGAATCCACTCCTTTTTCCTAACCTGTTTTTAAAGGCCCCCTGTGTAACATACTCAGCCTCGGTTCACAAGAGCTGCAACATCTTCTCACCTACGCCTAGCCCTAAACCCTAACCCTAAACCCTAAACCCCAAACCCTAAACCCTAAACCCTCAACCCTCCTAGCGCCCTGAGCTGCGGGCCCAAGCTGTGCCGTCGTCTGGTGGTTGGAAACAGTGGTGATTTGAAAGAGATCCAACGCCTCAAAGATGGGCACAAGCTTAGGGTTTAGGGTTTAGGGTTTAGGGTTTAGGGTTTAGGGTTTAGGGTTTAGGGTTTAGGGTTTAAGGTTTAGGGTTTAGGGTTTAGGGTTTCGGGTTTCGGGTTTCGGGTTTAGGGTTTAGGGTTTAGGGTTTAGGGTTTAGGGTTTAGGGTTTAGGGTTTAGGGTTTAGGGTTTAGTTTACAACCCCTTGGGGTCTTTTAGATGTCAAGCGCTTGCTTGGGGGGGTTCTTGTTGCCCAGTCGGTAGGCTTACACTCAGGTGTTCCTGCAGAGTTTGGGGTTGAGGGTTTAGGGTTTAGGGCTTGGGGTTTAGGGTTTAGGGTTTAGGGTCTAGGGTTTAGGGTTTAGGGTTTAGGGTTTAGGGTTCAGAGAAGCGAGGTCTGACAACCCTGATTGGGATGTACCCCTTTATACCAACAGTCCTTTATAGGGATGATCATAGGGGGGTATGATCATCCCTATTCGGGACTCTTAGACAAAGGGGGAACAGCCCAAAGCCCTGAGGAACAAAAGAACCTCAGCCCCGGAACCTGACCAACCACGGCTTGTAGACTTAAAAAAAAATCGCTGATCATTTTCATGGCTCGAGCGCTTTTGGGGCTTTCCGCGATTGGGGCGGGGGGGCACCTGATGGGGTCCTTACGATTTGATACACTAGGGGCCCTCCTTATCGTACATCGAAGCTACGGGAACCTACGGGCTTGGGGCCTTTCGGGACGTTTATGGCTACGCCTTCCAGGCAGTCCAGGCCCTTGAAAGCCCCTCCTGATGGCCGCACCCCAGTTTTTTTGGAAAGGGATCAGCGACTCAGGCCAAAGCTCGGCAGACGTAGCTAAGAGGCTAAGGGAATGAGGCCAAGAGGAGGTCAAGTCGGTCGGGAAGCAGCTCAGCGAGCTCTCCTTCTACCAACCCCCAAAAAAAAAACCCTTGACGCCCTCCAGCTCGGGCATTTCACACCTCAGGCCCGGGCGGCAAGCAGGACCCGATTATGATCGCCCAGCCTGGCACTGGAGACTCTCTCTCTCTCTCTCTCTGTCTGTCTGTCTCTCTCTCTCTCTCTCTCTCTCTCTTTTTCAAGGCCACACGCGCGTGCTCTGTCGCCTCTCTCTCTCACACTCACACTCTCACTCTCACTCTCTCTCCCTCTCTCTCTCTACTTGGAATGTACGAACAGAGGTACTTATTGCAGTACATTCACTAGTTCATTAGTTTTGTCTTCTGGGGAGGGGGTAAATAAACATGGCTGGAGCACTTGTCCTCGGCTGGTTGGTGCCCAAGCAGCCCTCTCAAAGCCTGGGCTTTGACTCGGCCGTAAGGGGGGTCGCGCGATCTGGAAAGGATGCTCCGGATATTTCACCGACAGGGTGAGGGCCGTTGAAGGCCTTTTGGGGCTTACGAGGAAGACAGCCTTCATGCCTCATTTGCCTCACCCTCTCCACTGCTGGCTACGTAAGAAGGCTCGTTTCACAGGAAGGCTCACTCTGAACAGACTGCCCCCACCTCAGAGCGAGACTGCTGCATTGAGCGCTTCATGTCACACCCAAACTCCATGTTTCGGCGCTTAGCGATTTTTGACTGAGGAAGAGGTCTACGAGGCTAGGCGATGTGCTCAGCCCCGGCTCAAAGGCCCAAAAAAGACCGCCTGGGCGCGGGGCACATGCGACGATTCCATGCGGCAGGGAAAGTCCCAGCCTAGGGCCCGGAAGTGTGGGAGAGGGAGGGGAGAGAGAGGGGGAGGGGGGGGAAGAGAGCGCAGGGCCCAAGTTCGACTTTGGGATTGAAAGGGTTGTGTTCTTTTGTCTTTTTTTTGGGGGGGGTCTAACCACGGCACAGGGCAGACTAAAATAGTCTTTACGGCATGGCATATGAAAAAAAAAACATAAAGCCTTGCCCTAGACCCTAAACCCTGAACCCTGAACCCTAAACCCTAAACCCTAAACCCTACACCCGAAACCTAAACCCTCCCATCTCCTTCGGAGCACGACATGGGAGAAGGTCTCCCAATTCTGCAAAAGCTGGGTCTCGAGCATTTGCGAAAGTTGAGAAGCTTCAGATCGACCTCGGAGCGCTTTTGTAGATATATGGGGTCCCTTAATCATTAGAATGTTTTTTTTTTTTTTTTGGGGGGGGGGGGGGGGGGGGGGGGGTGGTGGTATCATACGATAATTACAAAGGGACCATATGGGAAAATTTTGTAGGTTGTAATTGTACTTAATGTTTCTATTCTGTTTGTTTGTTTTCTTTTTTTGGGGAGGCGGGGGGGTGGCGGGGTGGGGGGAGCGTGGGCGCTTGTAGGGTTGCTGCAAGTCAATGGCGTATAAGTGGTACGGATGTTGGGACTTAGGGTGCAGGATGTGAGGCTGAGGGCTCTAAGCCTCTCTGAGATGTAGGGTGCTTAGGATGTCCCCTAAACCCTAAACCCTACACCCTAAACCCTAAACCCTAAACCCTAAACCCTAAACCCTTACGGTTATGATTGGGCTTGGACGCTCTGAGCCTCGAGCTCTGGCCAAAACGCGAGTCCAGGATGGCTCCCGTCACCCTCAGGGCTGCCACGCCTGCACCGGAATCCTAAATCCTAAACCTTAATTTCCTAAGGTCCAAAATCCCAACATCCAAGAATGCTAAGCCGTGATGACGGAGCAACCTAAACCCCAAAACTCCAAGCCCCTGAGCCCGAACACTACCCCCCCCCCCCCCCCCCCCCCCGCAACCCCTAAACCTAAACCCCCTAAACCCTAAACTTCCCTAAGCCCTAGACCCTAAACCCTGAACCCTACACCCTAAGCCCTAAAACCTTAACCCAACCAATCCAGTGACCGCAGACGGCCAGCGCCTGCATCGGGTCCCACGGCCTGGATGCTCTGCAGCCTGGGAACGAGGGCCCAGCAGATCGTTCTCGGGTTCTGGTGGTTGAGGACTCTGGGCTTCTGCCGTTTATCATGGAGAACCTCCAAAACAACGCACATACACCCTCACGAAACATTTCTGAAACGCTATACACCCTGAACTTGATACTTATAACTAGATTTTTGAACAACAAAATCATAATATGGTACTGTTATCATACAAACGTATAACACTATGATGTCATAAGAATAGAAAGTATATTTCAGAAACTCGAGCGGGTGGAAACGCGGAAGTGCTTTGGTCGCGGAGCTCGCCTCCAGCCAGACGTCGCTGAGAAAAGCCAAGAGGCAGTCGCCGTTCTTCTTGTTGCAGAAAGTTTAGGGCTTCAGGTTCTGTATAAACAAAACAAACAAATACAGAAATACACAATAAATAAATAAACAATATAAGTTTCGATATATATATATATATATACATATATATATATATACGTATATATATATATATATATAATGCCTACATGTTTTTCGCTGAGAGTTAAGTTTCTATACGTGTGAAAGAACAATATCAATATATATATATATATATATATACATATACATATACATATACATATACATATACATATACATATATATACATACATACATATATATATATATAGATAGATATATAAGAGGGTGTTCACAAGGCTTCAGGGCGTCTGAGGCCGCGGCAGCTCACAGAGCTCGGAGAGCAGGCCCGGCCTTCCGCGGGGCTCCCAGAAACCCTTTTGGGAACCGGAAGTCTACTATGCTGATATAGGGTTTAGGGTTTAGGGTTTAGGGTTTAGGGTTTAGGGTTTAGGGTTTGGGGTTTAGGGTTTAGGGTTTAGGGTTTAGGGTTTAGGGTTTAGGGTTTAAGGTTATACAACAAAGACCAAGTGCAAAAATGTAATAACGACGACATCATATAACAAGGCAATGTATACTTGCCATGTAGGAACAATACAAACACCTAAATCCTGAAGGCCCTAAGCCATAAGCACTAAACTAAAACTTGATCCCAGATGAGATTGAAGAGACGAAAAGACAAAAAGAATAGATAAAAGAAAGAGAGAAACAGAGAGAGATAGAGAGAGAGAGAGAAAGAGAAAGAGAAAGAGAAAGAGAAAGAGAAAGAGAAAGAGAAAGAGAAAGAGAAAGAGAAAGAGAAAGAGGAAGAGAGAGAGAGAGAAGAAGAGACAGTAAGGACGAGAGAGAGAGAGAGAGAAGAAGAAGAAGAGAGCAAGAGAGTGAGAGAGAGAGAGAAGAAGAGAGCAAGAGGGAGAGAGAGAGAGAGAGAGCAGAAGAGCGCCACAGAGAAAAGAAGAGAGAGAGAGAGAGAAGCAAGAAACACAAAAAAACAGAAGAGAGAGAGAGAGAGAGAGAAGAAGAGAGAGAGAAGAAGCAAGAGAGAAGAAGAAAGAGACTTCATGTCAGTTTCAGGTTCAGGAAAGGTTGGGCTGCAAGAGACGACAAGGGATGCCTCGATGGTTTAAAGGTTCAGGAGGCATTTTGAGGGGATAGGGGGTTAGGGTTTAGGGGTCAGGGTTGTTTGGGCGGTTTAGGGGTTCAGGGCGCACCTAAACCCTCAACCCTACACCCTAAACCCTAGACCCTAAACCCTGAATGTGGACATTTCGCTGCCGGAGCCTCTTCTGCAAGTATTGCTGCAGCATGCTTGGGCCTGAGCGGTCCAGCAGCCAGCTGTGCAAAGTTATTCAGGAGGTTTACGGGCTTGGACATATACGGCTCAGGAATGAGGGCCCTTTGAGGCTTTGAAGTTCCCGGCAACCACCCAGCTTGGCGCGTCGCCAACGTGCTTTATGGAGTTGCAGATGGCCAGCAGCGCTATCGCCACCACCTGCAGACACCCACTGAAATATCCACTTTTATACTACGAATGGAGCATCCGAAGCCCGAAGTCCCCAAACCCTCAACCCTAAATCCCAAGTCCAAACTCCGCAATGTCCAGACTTGCTTAATTGCTGCGAAGAGATCTGGGCCTCCTGTCTACCCTCCAGGCTGCGCGCGCGGCACCTCGGGTCAGCAACCCTGAGCCCTAAAACCTCTTGCATCCGGTTCATGTGACACGCCCTAGACCCTAAAGCCTACACCCCCTGACCTTTTTCCAACAAACCCTTAAAAAAGGGCCTTGGGTTTTTGCGAGGATTCTGATCTGGAGATCCTCATAGAACCTAGGGAAACATGTCGAAGTAGGGTCTATGTTGCTTGTATCCCCAACAGGACACCCAGTATATACACTCACCAATAGTAACAAGGAACCTTATATACACTCACCAAAAACAGAAATATAAACCCTGCTTCAATGTGGCTGCCAGCTCTTCACCTCTGTGTGACTCCTCTGGGCTGCCACTGTTTGGGGCACGGACCACAGACGAAGCTGCAGGGTCACGGCCTTCGAAATCAGGAATTCTTCTTGCTGTTGTTTGTTGTCCCTTAGTGTCATGGTGACTAGGACGATTAAACACAACTCTTACCGTGATTACAATGCATACTATGTGTTGATTATGATGACTACTGCGACGAGTATCACTACTCTGACTAGTATTCAGAATTGTCTTATTATTGTTGGGTTTACATACAACTATTGCGATAATTACGACAATTGTTCGCAATACGATGCTCAGTAGTACGACTATGCTAGTTGTCGTTTCTACTATGCATATGATGACTACTACGCGTGTTGGCATTTTACGAATACTAGTTATCATTCTTGTTCTTCTCGTTTCTCTTACTTTGGTCGAACTGGCTCTGTTCCTGAGTGCGAGACTGGCCGAATTGCATCTGTGATCAAGGGAGATTCCTGCGGCGAGCGAGTTTGAGGCTTTAGGGTCTGCAGTGCAGGGTTCAGGTGTAGGTTCTTCCGGTTTAGGGCTGAAGGTGTAGGGTTTAGGGTTCGTGAACCACACATTTGTGGCAGGTGCATCAGAAATCTTTGAAAACCCACTTTCATGACGAACCTCGGAAATCTTCAGTGGAGAAGATGTCCCAGCCCAATGCAACCACCCAAAATCTTCACAATCAACGGCACGGAGGATGTTCAAGGACTTAGAAAACATAGAATCAGAAGGCTCGGAAATCAATGACGACAAGGCTTGCAACCAAACGCCAAAATCGCGCTCGTTTCGCTGCTTTACTGTCGATTGTTAAATCGTGGCAGGCTCTATCCCGCCCCACGCCGTCTGAGGGGGCCAAAACCATCCAAAACCTCGTCTGTCGGGTTTGGGTCCAAACTCATTCAAGGCTGGGCCGGGACGCGGAGGCGTTCCCTCCAAAACTTCTTAACCCCCGGCTTTCCGCGCAAAAAAGGGGGGCAATTTGGGACTCCAGCTCCAGCCTTCAGCCTGGGTCCGTCTCCATACTAATCACTTTCCGGAGGGAAACGGAAAGCAAATGACATTACGTCCTCCGCGCGCGCAAAAATCCCACATTGGGGTTGGCAAAATTGCGACACTCGAACGATGGAGGGGCAACTGGCTCCCTACGTATCGGGCCTTCGACAAGCACAGAGTGTCAAAAACATTTGCAGTTTGGGCAGTTGTGCAACTGCAAGTGCCGAGTATGTATATCACACACAGACTACAACCGAAAAAGGGGCAGTAATTTGTCGGAGAAAAAACATCGGCGAGCGCAATAGTTCAACGCACGCATGTGCGCAGAACGTCCCCTGACTAATGCGCGCTGCAACCCCAAAAACCCGAAACCCTCCCCATAAACTGCCATAAACCCCAACCCCACTGAACCCTACCTCGCCCTTCCGGGGGCCTCAAACTGCTTTGAGAGCTCCTCGAAGGACGGCTCCGCAGTCGCCTCAAGCACACCCACCTCCCTTATGCGAGGGTCGAGTCTGAGGGGCTTGGGCCGCGCTCTCGACACGAAAAGCCATAAGGCCAGAGGCCACATTAGGAGAGAGAGAGAGAGAGAGAGAAAGTGTATAGAGACAGAGGCAGAGACTGAGACAGAGACGGAGATGGAGAGAGAGAGAGAGAGAGAGAGACGGAGAGAGAGACAGAGCACTCCTGAACCCCAAGCCCCGCTGGACACAGAACCAACAGAGGCTTAAACCAAACCCCACCAACCCTACACCCATGAACCCGTGAACCCGTGAACCCATGAACCGAAAAAACCTTTAAAAAACCTAAACCCTTGAAAAAACCTTTAAAAAACGTTTAAAAAACCTAAACCCTTTGAACCCTGAATCCAAAACCCCAAACCCCGCCGCCCTCCAACAAAGGCTCCCAAGGCCCTGGCTATGGATGCTGGAACCTGGCAAACAGGGGCTCAGGGTGTCCGGTTTATGTTTTGAGGCCAAAGAGGGAGGCCACAGAAGACTTGCTCAGCAGGTTCTGAGGGACAACAAACAACCCAACTGCGCACATCGTGCTTGAAGCACACGGAGGGCCCTCCCGGGCGGCAGGCTCCTTCATCCACAGGTTTGCTGAAGCAGCTGCTCCAGCCGACAGCAGCCAGGTTCGAACGCGACTCCTTGAGCAGCTTGCGGTTTCCAGCTTGAGGCGAGCCAGTGGCAGTCCGGCGTCGGAGGGACGGAGGGACACCACGGGCACATCGCTCTCCCACCTTCCTGCACGTCCTGCACGTGCCGGCCTCGCCGTCAGCCGCGAGCCGCGACGGCTTTGCAACTTAACGAGCCCCCAAAACATTGTCTATTTACGACCCAAATTTCCCTACTTGGCTACCCTGAACCCTCAACACTCTGAAACTCTCATTCAAAAAGTCCTCGACCCTGAACTCTCGAACGAAAACGCCGCAAGCAGCGGGCCTTGAGTACTGAGAGTTCCGAAGGGTTTGTCCCCTGGGCTGGGGAAGGTGCTCCAAAAACGGAGTTGCGGGACAGAAGTCGTAGATAGTTTGGGATTTGGGCTTAAAGTTCAAAGGGTTTCGGGTATCGGTTTTGGGGTTTAAGGGAGTGCTATAAATAGGTAACGGCACACCCAGGTGGCGGCAGCGTTTCGCGAAGCCTCCAGGCCTTTACACTTCCTGCAGAGGCCGGCCAAGGCTAACGCTTGTGACAACGCGTCTTGTTCCACAACCTTGCGCAGTATGTCGTACACAAAGGCAAAACGCTGTAAATACCAGTGTTTTCGGCATGGTCGCCACAGGCATTGTGACAACGCAAACAAAAAGGCGAAATTTGGGCAGGGCCGCGACACGACGGGCGTTCTTAACCTCCCGCCCCCCTTTGTCCCCAGCCAAGAAACAGAAACCCTGAAGCCCTGAAGCCTGAAAAGTGGCTTAAAGACAGGGACCGTTATGGGTGCCGTCACCTAGAACTGGGGCATGGGGTTCTCACGGCATGATTGGTATATAGTGGCATGTGGTTTCGGGTTTGGGGGGCTGCATGGAGTTGATTTGTTCAGCCCTCAAGGTCCGAGGGCTTCGTGATGTTCAGGGTTAGGGGGGTGTTCCTTCTGAGGTGCTGGAAGAGTGCGCATTCTAAGAGTGGCCTTAAAGTGGTATCTCTGCAAGGGCCCTTCCTTTCACAAGCCTCCCCAAAACAGGTCACGCGAATTTCGAAACAGCTCCCAGCTGCCCAAACTGCCAGTAGGAGGGCCAAGGCTGCAGTAGGGTTGAGGGTTCGGGATTATACCGTTGAGGATATATAGGGTTTAGGGTTTAGGGCTTAGGGCTTCGGACTGAGGGTTTATACTGTTGAGGGTATAGAGGGTTTAGGGGGAGAAGTCCGAGGGCGCGGCCACGGCTGAACTGGTTGGGATCTCGAATTGGAAATCGGCAAGATCGTAGTCCTCTCAAGCTCTCGCACCCGCGAACACAAAAAGACATCCGCATAACTCTGCACACCCATGCATGTACCCTTGACATGTACCCTCCCTCGGCAGAACCCTAAGACCAAAACCCGAAAACCCTAAACCCTAAACCCTGAAACCCTAAACCCTGAAGCCTGATCCCTAAAACCCTTAGTACTAATACTGCGCGGGATAATAATTGACAACAGTGAAGGAAGCACAATTTCAATGTAATTACAAGGGACGCGTGAATTACATTGCAGATTGTACGAACGAAACACGAACTCACTTCCATCGCGTGATAAAAGATTAAAGGGCCAAAAGGGAAGAAATATAGGGCCCTTTATCACGCATACGATATTAGAAGAGAGTTCTCGTTTACACGGTTAATGACTTCGTGTTCGTACTTCGTTCTCTCGCTCGTAATAAAAGCACGCGTTCTCCCTAAACCCTATATAAAACCTCAAACCCTAAAGCCTTAAACCCTAAACCCTGAACCCTTAACCCTTCCACCCTGAACCCCTAAACCCTTGAACGCTTAAACCCTAAAAACCCTAAAAGGCTGTGGGTCCGCCTCCGCGCTGCAGGCGTCCCTGAAACTGGTGCTCCCGAGAACGCCTTGGGGGGGGCGGTCGGAAAGGGGTCTGACCTGAAGAAATGTCTGGGGACTAGGAACTCATGTATACTTGCAAAATGATATATATATATATATATACATATCTATACATATAAATGAAGTGAAAATATACGGAGCCCCTAGAATCGTACAATTCTGAGGTTGGGAACCCTCAAATCAAGCCTCATGGCCCCAGCATGGGAGAAGGAATCCTGAGGAAGAAAGGCGAAGAATCCCATCACAAGGGAACACTGAAGCCATAGTAACGTGGGAG